ATATAATCCTCGGTTTACAGATAAGCTATTTGTTGACCTCACGAGCAGGTCCATGGGCAAAACAAGTTATATTAATCAATAAATAATTGATGTTATGGTATTTCACAATCATATCATTTTAACCATATACAAGTCGTAAGCTACCATTAGAATCGTAATTTAACTCATCATATTACAAAAGAAAACAAAATGGTTGGTTTAATGCTAATTTGGTTCAATCTGAGTCAAGGCTAGCCACGTGCTTAGTGTCGAAATGTATTACATGCATGTTTTTGTATGTACATATGTATGTATGTATGTATGTACTTTATGCAAACCGTTTGAACTAACCTCGATGATCGTAATAGGTAATTGTAATGCAATATAAGCCTTAGGCTATGAAACGTGTTTTACCGGTAAGCAAATACGGTAGATACTAAAGTAAATAACACTTAAAACTATAGTAAACAACATTGTTTTGTTTCGAATACTTCTTCCTAATTTATAATTATGACTTACCCTCGCTTCGCTCGGGTGTGTCCCTAGCGTACGTGTTCATAGGCTTGCTACAGTTTAATAGGAAGATCATTTTAAGAGGATTTCTGTATCATATGTATTTGTGTACAATTCATTGTTATCATATATTTTTTTAGTTTACGCGGCGCACGCCAATAAAGCTCCCAATTGGAATGATTTTTTTCGACATCTTCAACGGTCATCGTCATAATTCAGACAATTCACGCAAATGCTTAATGAATTATACACTTAAACCTTCCTCATGAATCACTCCATCTATAGGTGAAAACTGTATGAAAATCCGTTCGGTAGTTTTTGTGTTTATCGCGTTCAGACAGACAAACAGACAGACGCGGCGGGAGACTTTATGTTATAATATATAGTGATGATTATTATTATTAATAAAATACATACAAATAATTTTTTTTTGATTTATTCATTGATATCATTATGTCAATACAACATAACTTTATGAACGTCTATGGCACTTTTATTCAAATAAAAAGTATATAGGAGTCGAAGGACTTACTACGTACCCCGTAAAAGGAGTGAAGCTAATATCTTATCTGTAAAATCTGTATAGAAATAATCTCTTTCATATAATAACGTGTAAAAATATGATAATATTTTAAAATAAATTCAGCATAGGCATCATAGAACTATGCCTAAAACAAAAATAATTTCACGTTCAACTTTGCTTATTCAACAAGCTCGCAAATTTTAGGTCGTGAATCGAAGATGAAATCGATATTTATTGTTTGTCTAAAGTACTATACCGTAAATTACTAGTTGAATCACTAGTGACCTTAGTTTCTTAGTATAGATATAGTCAAATATTCTATACGCGTATCTGTCTTCTTAGAAGTAGTTTATGTTTTTGTGCACCTTGAAGTTTAAACTTAAATGCAATAAAATTTGATATCTTTATTTACCTAAAGTATAATTTTACTTAAAACTTATCAATTATATGTACTTACTTCGTTTTATGATATTTTTTATCGGACAATTTAAATTTCAGTTAGATATTTTTTTATTTACTCTATCTAATATATAACTTTTCCGAAAAGTACCTACACCTAGTTTCTATATAATTTGATAAAAAAATATTAATGTTTTAAGTAAAATTATCTTTTCGGTTATTTTCGTAGATTTATCTAGATTTTTGGCTTCTGACGTTTCGAATGCTTTACAGCAATCATGGTCACGGGAGAGACTAAGGTTTTAGGTGTTTCACAAAAATCTAAATAAATGTGCAAAAAAATCCTAAAAAATAGTTCTTTTGAAATGTCAAAAACTCGCGTAAATCTAAGTACAATATTAATAGCTTGATTACACTTAAACTTATAAGTGTATTCGTAAGATTTTAATCTGTACCTAGCTATTTTATAAGTAATTTTCTTAATTGCCTATTCTACTATAAAAAAATATAAAAAATAATATACAAAAATCTCTCTCTAATATAAAAAAATCTACCAAAAAAAACAGCACACCTGTCTGTGGCCATTTTCGCTCGAAAAAAAGCTTTACAAGTTCACGCTGAAGAGTCTGGTTCACCTTGAAACAGCATTCCTACATTGTACCTACATAGTACGTATGTATAGAATGAACTTAAAGCTTCCTACAATCTTTATATACCTAGGTTGTTTTTATATGACATTGTGTTTGTCATTTTAAAGGTATAGGTATGTAGCCAATGTGACAAATAACTTAGAAAAACCCATTATCTTATTGAATGTTAGGTATTTTATTTATGTGATATTATACCTTATTCTATTAAATGCCATTTTTTACCCGCGGCTTTACTCACGCACGTTATTCATAATCTACTTACCATATAAATGCGAGTTTGTATGTGAATGTTTCACGCTAAAATAGCTGGGCGGGCTTGGACAGATTGATTATGACCTCGAGTAACGTAGGCACTGTTAGGTACCCAAAAATGCATCCGAGCGAAGCAAAGGGTAAATCGCCAGAAGCAATATTACTTAGTACAGATTCTAAACATTCGGAGTAAGAGAACATTTCTTCAACAACAAATCTTAGGTCACAAATAGCTGCGACCTATGATTAGTTCTTGAAGACATTTTAGAATTTAACAATTACGGTCATAAATCTATTATAATATGTTCACAAAATCCAATCAATTACAAGTACCTATAAAACAAAATTTAGAGTCATTAATTTAACAACGTGATATTAATCGACCCATTAGATTGGTTGTAAGTAATTAAGCGTACTAGGCTTACGCGTTAAATCGTTTTAAAACTAGTTTATACCGATATGTGTAATTAAAATTTAATTCAAATGGATATATTCTTGTTTCTAGTCCAGCTAAAGTAACTAAAGAAAAGTTAATTCGGTATTTTATTCACCGAAGTTTTTAAATTAAATTTAAAAAAGTACATTTTATAAGTTTTTGTAAAAATTTTAATTACAAAGTTTCTATTAGTATTTTAAAATGCCAGTTTAAAAATACTCAGAAATACAAGAACGTTGCACAACTAATTGATCTACCAAAATATATGTGTAGGATTAAAAAGTGGGATGATACTTTGTTTAGGAATTCATTTGAGCTGTGTCTAAAGAATCGAAGTCGCCCCCACAATTTTAAACTAAATCATTACGTAACATTCTAATATTTACGCCAAGGCCATGAGTAATAATTATAATGCTAGCAAATATGATTACTCAGATTCACTAACTCATGTCTGTGCTAAACAATTCTAAGGGTACTCTCTCTAAGCTCTCTTAGCTTAAAAATTAGGTAAACAATCGATATTTAATAACTTCCGGGCAGCACACGCACAGTATAATATGTGAAACTGAAACCATTTTTCGAAAAAAAAATACTTATACAGCCTATAAGGGTTTATCCTAGATAATGTAGCCATATAAAAAAAGTGTCCAACAAAAAAACATAGAATGTATTCATCTGTTGTATTCTGTTGGTAGATTAAAATTTTCTAGTAACACGGTGTTTTGAGAACTAATGACAGTATTTTGCACTTTACAGTCCTATTTAATGAACAATAACTTTACTATTTTATCGTCTGTTAAAACTTTGATATATACTTTTATCACTAGTGATTTAACCTCTTTTAATTTAGTTGTAGAAATTTGTATTTTCAATACTAACGGTCTATCTGCGCTTCGCTCCGGCGAAGAATCCCGGGTACCTAACAGTAGCCTATGTGCTACTTCAGTTTTCTAGTCTACCTGGTCCTTAAATTCACCTAAATCCGATAAGCTGCTACACACCTTTGATATTTGTAATGAACTTTATCATTCAAACCTACTTTTGCGATTTGCCGGAAGAATTCTATCTATATAAGCCAAAAATTTCGCTTACTAATCAATTTGTAGCGTACATAATTGACCGATTGATGGATTGATACGATTGAGTTACGTCGTAAATAGTTAAAACGTACGAAACACATGGAATGTTATGTAACAACCATGTCGACGGAAAATTACGTTATCGAATATATTATTTACAGGTTTCCATAAATTTAAGAAAATTCCACAGTTTTAAGTCTTGAAATTGGTTGGTTTGTGAACTATCCGGTTTTCTTAAGTTTTGAATAGTATAAGTAGAATACAAATTATGTGAATTTTTACCCATAAATTATTTTTAAAATATGTAAAACAGTACTTTTAAAGTTATTAAATAGTTAAATTAAAAATAAAAATAATTGTACAGCGGTTACACGTAACCATAACCCTTCAAATTTCAAGACAACCCCCCTTAAAAATATTTTAAATAATTTTGAAATTTCTTCTATGATAAATGATTATTAGAAGCGGTGGGAAATAGAGCCTATGAATTATCATATATTATATTAAAAATAGCTATATTATATAATCGTCTCGTTAATATTAATTAATGAACATCTCTCATTTAAACTAACTGAGCTTTTGTTTCTCAATTTAAACGCAAATAGAAAATGACATAACACAAAACAACAAAACGCAAAACAAAGACGTTTATAGACAATTATTGGTTAAAGGCTTTTATTGTCATTATGTAAAGTAATTGAGCCATATTCTACTACAGAATACAGATGACTCAATAATCTAAGCTATTTCTAAGAAACTTGCTTAATTAAATGTATAATATTTAATATTATTAGGTACCTCGAGATGGTTTATTGTTTGATTTCATATAATATCTAAGGTACTAATATGAAATTTGAATAAATACTGGTTATCGCTTATTATAATATTGATATCGACGTTGAAATCCCGCTTTTGTAATTATTAAAAATTGATATTCCATTTTGTTTTTACTCTTAAATATATTTAAATACAAGAAGAACCTGTCACAAGAAAATAAAAAAAAATACGCCTAGTTCTTATTTAATTTTAAGAATATTATATGAGATAGATGTAAATAATTAGGATTTACAGCTGAAAATTAAGGAAAGAGATAAGTCATGCCCAATAAATAATGCATTTAGTTTTTTTTTAAATATATGTAAATGCCTAATTTAACTATGTTGTAAAGAATGGTAAGTGAAATTGTATTTATCGGATTTAAATCTATGAAAAATAAAACAATAATGATTACATGATTATGTTCGAACTAGCTACTCACCCTCGCTTCGCCTCAGGTTCGTTCCTAGATAAAAACAAATCTATCCCACGGGAACCGTCCATTTTTCCGGGATAAAAAGTAGTTTGTGTGCTATTTCAGACTATAATCTATTTCTGTACCAAATTTCATCTAGATCCGTTTAGCTGTTCTAGCGTGAAAGAATAACAAACATCCATCCAACCATCCTCAAAAACTTGTAATTATTTCAATAAGAGATTGGAATTCCAAAATTTAATTAAAGGAAAACGAAGAAGGTTTTCATTAAGGCTAATTGTATGTAGTACCCTTCAAGAGCTTGGCAAAAATTGTGGCTCAGCAATTTGCAAAGAGATTTCATTATTCATTAAATAGAAGTTTCACTTTTCATTGGTATTAGTATTCACTATGTAACATTTGAAAGTTATAAATATTTAGTCACATATTAATTCAGAAGACCATAATAAAAAGCACATAGTCAAATAGTAATATGTCTATATAAATAAGTGAGTATGATTATATAATTTGTACACTTTGTAATCTTCATAAATTTTATAATGCATATTTCAAACCAAGGTTTATAATCTATGAAATTGTACAAAACCAGTTATAGTACGTGACTTCTTCAGCGTGATATTCGTATTATATATACAAATAAAGTTTTAAGCTAAATTAATAATATTATATACGTAGCTATTTTACATACGAGTTTTTATTTATCAATTATTATTTATAATAAACAAAATTCTTGTTCCATTAAACCCTATAACAAATATGTAGTTTCTATCTGCTATATAACTTGCACGTTAGTTCAATTAATTGTTAAATTACTAAATATAATTTATAACAAATATGTTGGGACATTAACACACAGCACCATCTGGTTTCATGGTAAGCTGCGAGGCTTATGTTATGGATACCAGATAATTGATACACTACACATATACAACTTTAAATACATACATATTATAAATATAAACACCCATGACTGGAGTACAAACATTCGTTCTCATCACACAAATGGACCCCAGCGGGACTCGAACCCGCGACCGCTGGCATAGCAAGTAGGGTCACTACAAACTAAGCTAAGCGTGTCGTCAACCAAATATATGTTTTTAAAAACCAGTTAACAAGAAAATTGAATTAAAATTAGAACTATTTTGAAAGCTGTTGATCTTCTTCGTAATCTGCATGAAGATTGCTTAAATGATTTATGAAGATTATGCGAAATGAGAAAGGTTTCATCTCACAAGAAAAGCAATTTCTCACTGTACCACATTCACTGAATCAGACGCGTATGTTACGTAAAATATTTTTATAGTAATACATACTTTTAAAATATTATAATTTTTTCAGCAAGTTCAAATTACAACCTAAAGTGTCTGGATAATTTTTCATTTGGTATTTCATTGGATTTCATTTCATTTCATTGGATAATTCATCTTTATAAGAAATTAAAAAGTACATACATATTTTGTTTCTTTAACTTTGCTTTGAACTTATGACCCAATAATATTATTTTTCGCTGACCACTAACCAAACCGCAAGCTCTACAGGGTACTAGCCAATATACTATCTGCATTGAACACAATCTACATAAGCATGTAACATTTTATGACAATAATTTATTAAATATAGCTTTACATTCTAAGATTTAATAATAATAATACGTAAAAATAGCAAAATGCACGTTTTGTTTAATAATACCTAAATTTACTATATTTATATTATATTAAACTATTAGTATTTTATTATTTTCTTAAACAGTGATAAAATGACAACACTAACTTACTTTTTTTATAGATTAGTAGAATAATTTAGTTTAAGTATATTAAAATATAATAATAAATATGAAATGTACTAACCCGATGTTTGTCAACAGGTAAAGGAGCGGCGTCCGTTCCTACGTCGCACTAAAGCCACCGCACCCCCCGACGTCACCGACACAGAGACCAGCACACCATCCCTCGAGGCAACCACCAACAAATTCACCAAACGCGGCAACAACAGATTCAAGTCACGAAAAACTGATAATGAAATTGATAAAACAAAGGCAGATAATAAGACATCTTCTACCGCTGCACCACAACGTAGTGATAGACCGCGCAACTTCGTTCGACGACGGCTTGGAGGGGCAAACTGTGAGTCCGGTTTTTGCATTCTCAGCCTCTGACGCAATTATATAACACCCACATACAAAAAACACCTTTATTTACTAACACTTATACACCTTTTCACATAAAATTCGCATGCACGTATAAATAATGGAAGATAAACTGTGTAGAGTGTACAGTGCATAGGTCTTTAGTTCTCATAGTTGTATTGAAAGCTGTGTAATTGACTCTTCTGATTTTCCTATGTTTTTTTTTGTACATATTGCCTTGACTCTAGACGTCCCGCTGCCAATCATTGATAAAAGGCTACTTGTTATGGTTTCGAAACATAAACTAGGTGTTACGGAGGTGTGGCAAAGTTGTTAAACATGAAATATACGTTCTGTAATTTGAAGTTAAAATTGCAAGAAAATATCCAAAGGTAACAGATCTACACACATGGAGCAAAAGTATAGCAATTTCTATCGATGTAGAGTTCTCTCGATGTTCAATTTTTTTCGAGATACATATATAGTTATTGTCTAATTTTTACTTTTTATGTTAAGCTTCGGTTTGCCATATTTAAAAAAAAAATCTATTTAAAAGGATACATATATTGGTAAGTATTGTTACAATCAATTATATATGTAAGTTTGAATTGCTGAATATGTAAAAAAAATCAATGAAAAATATTAGAAGCTTTTTGTTGGGTATTATTTTTAAATAACATTATATTAATTATTACTCCATAAGGCCATTCTGCCCTCCCGAACCTAAAGTGCAGTAACAGCAAAAACACGAATTCGAGAAAAACGCGCCTAAAGTTTAGAATCTATAAAAATATATCAAAAAGAGACTTTTCGATAAAACTTTGAATGGAAAGTGAAAGAATATGTACCAAACTAAAATATTAAACATTGTTACGTTAGTTTTTTTTATAAAAAACTATAATTATGGCAATTTTAATTTTTTAGCCCCTATTACTACACACACTTTATTTGTATAATCTTTTCAAAAACTGTTTTAAATGCAGTAAATCCTGTTATTACTGCATTTTAGACATTTCTTCCATGATTGTTACTAACTAAAGTGCAGTAATATTATGAAAATACTGCTATTTAATCTGTTTTTTTGAACAAAACACTGATATTCCACACTTATAGTAATATAAAATTACCTTTAATTTTGATAAAAATATGTAATTTCTTAAACAAAACTGGACATGCATTTATGACTATGCTATTAAAACTATTCATCAAAACATTGTACATTATAATCTAATAGTGTAAATTGTTTTATATGACTAACAATATAACAATCTTTACAAGATGTTGATAATCTTAACTAGTTAATCCACCATAAAACTATATCACATGTATTTCTCATGCATGGATCAATAAAATTTACATTAAATCTTTCTTCTGAACATAACTAATTACAAAATGAGTATTCTTGTCTTACAAAAATAATAGTCTGAGAAGATTATGGAAGGGAGAACCAAGGATAATTAACTTATATGGGAAACAAGTTGAAAAAGTGTCCAGTAGTGAGCGGCAAATTATAGCTCAGTAACTCACCGTTACAGCACTAGCGTAGCAAGTAGATGTGATGTGAAGTTAGGAGTTTTTAACGGAGTGAAGTGTGCTGAATTATTATTACTTGAAAATAATATATAATTATATTTCTGTTTGCCTATGCTAGAACTATTTTGAAAAGTGCGCCACAGCAAAGCGGAAATCTTTCTTTCCTTGTTTAATTCACCTTCTTACTTTTATGACGCTATGTTTTAAACTAGCGACTCACCCTCGCCTCACTCGGGTTCGTCCCTGGATACTTTTTTTTTGAGCGGAACTCTAATTCTTTTTTAAAAATAAAAGTAGCCTATATTACTCCCTATAACATCAGTTACCTTCCACTGAAAGTCCGTCAAAATCAGTCCAGCCGTTTCAGAGATTATTCGGAACAAACAGACAGACAAAAAATTTTAAAAATTAGTTTTTCTTATAAGTACCGTATATAATTTCATATGCATTTAGTAAAAAGGTTTATTTTGACATTACAAACAGACACTACAATTTTATTTATCTGTATAGATGTATAGATTCATATACTTGTTTTCTGTGGCGCCACCAATTTAATGCTTGTCAGCGGTCACTTTTTATACGAGAAATAGTTCTCCTTAGTTCTACCCTCCATATCTCTTTGGTACAGACACAGCATGGCATGTCAAGTCAGCCTTAAGCCACAGATCCTTGAGACAGACAGAGAGAAAGACTGCCTCAAACCGCGATATTGCCTGTCCTGTGTTTTAATATTTTAATAATTTTACCTATTAAAACACACAAAACAGGCAGTGGTAGCCCAGTGGTAACGCGCTCGCTTGGGAATCCGAGTGAAGCGGGTTCAAATCCCGGGTCTCGCACCTCTGATATTTTAATGTGCGAATCATTTCTAACATGATTACCACTTGCCTTACGGTGAAGGAAAACATCGTGAGGAAACCTGCATGTCTGAGAAAACCTAGCAAGTTTTCGAAAGACATGTGAAGTCCGCCAACCCGCACTTGGCCAGCGTGGTGGACTATGGCCTGATCCCCCTCGTATGAAGGGAGGCCCGTGCCCAGCAGTGGGACGTTAAAAGGGCTGAATACACATACACACCTATTAAAACGCAGTATTAGGGAATAGTATTTGACTTTAAGTATTTTAGGTAGTATGACTTGGATGGAGCAAACTAACTAATATGCAGTAAATTTTATAAATATTGTAAACTAAATGGTCTTTTACAAGCAACTACAAAACATCCTACAAGTTAAACTGCAGTAAAGTTATTAAATACTGCATGTCTTTTAGTTTTTCACAAGAAATTACAAAATCCCCCACAAGTTAATGTGCAGTATGGAATGTTAATACTGCACTTTAATTAGGAATATAAATAAAAAATATTTTTTCTTAACCTTTGCAGTATAATCAATTTGTATAGAGTCGAATAATACTGCATTTTAATAAGTTTTTTCTTGAATCTCCTAGAACAAACTACTATTTTAAGTGCCACAAAATATGATAAAACACTGCAGTTTAGTTAGGAAACAGAGAAAAATCTTGTGCAGTATTAATTGTACTGCGGTTTAGCTGGTAAACATGGAATATTTTAACAGATTTGTGATATTTTTTCTGTTACACTTTCCGAAAAAACATTAAAATAAAATACTTTTATTAGCGCTACAGAAAAAAGAATTAATTTGACTGATAGCTACTAAAATGGGGATTTCGAATATATATTTAACTCAAAACCGACCAAAATGTCTATTACTGCACTTTAGGCTCAGGTGGGCAGCATTGGGGCCAGAAGGAGTAATGCCTTCAAATATCTATATATATAAAAGAAAGTCGTGTTAGTTACTTCGCTTATAACTCAAGAACGGCTGAACCGATTTAGCTGAAAATTGGCAGGGAGGTAGTTTAGAGCCAGGAGAAGGACATAGGATACTTTTTATCCCGTTCGACCGCGTTCCAATTTTTATGATATTTTAATTTTTGGATTTCTCTTAGTCCGGAATAGGTAAGTATTAAAACATATAATTAAAATGTGAGAAAGAAAGATTTTTTCTTTTTATATCTATTTAAAACGTACCTAGCGACGAACCCGAGCGAAGCGAGGGTGAGCCGCTAGTACTCTATAGGTCAATACATAGTAATATAATATGTACTGACATAAAACGAGTACAAATGGCCGTGACAATGTTTACAATATCTTGACGTCCTTATCTTCTTGGCAAATATCATTTAGAGTATGTAATAACTAAATATGTTTATTGAGATAAAACCCATAAAGCCTTACAATACGGTATATAATGGCATGTAGAGTTTTTACAATTAAAATTGTGTAATTGTCACGTTATCATTTATAACGTGACAATTACACAAAACCAGATGTAAGGTCGTCAAGAACGTGTTTTATTAATGAAAATCGATAAACTTGTTCTGATGTTCGTGTATCCATCTCGTTTCCTATCCCATGTTTTCTCTTGAATATTAATAAAGGATATGGGATGTCTTATTTTAAAACCGGTTCAAGACGAGTTGTCTAGAATTTAATACTTAATATTTTCTAGTAGATTTAATCATTATATTTAATAACTCTTATCCTGGCGTATATTTCACGTTCGCTTTTGCTTGTCTTAGAAAAAAAAATTGAACTAGCAAGTTATACTAATTTATTGAATAAAAGTAGTGCTACTCAAGATTATATAGTCTATCTGTGTGCTAAATTTCATCTAAATCTGTCCAGCCATTTAAATATAGAGGAGTACCAAACATACACATATACACATACGAAATTTCGCACTTATAACTGAAGTAGGATTTAAAGTAAGTTATATATAGCTTTTGGACTGAATTTGAATTTGAAAACGAGATTAAGTTACGTATACGTTAAACATATATTGTAACGTAATTCAAACTTATTCCGCGTTGAAATCTTTTGTATACAAAGTATGCTCATGACATGTCGCCTCTGCGTTAAGTATAAGATATCCAAAACATCCTTCGTTTCTGTAATCGTAATTAACATAAATATTAATTTAACATAAAAAAGATATATTTTATAAATCTTTCATATTTGTAGAAACATTTATAAATATTCGGTATTTTTAGATTTTTATATTTTATATTAATTTATATGTATTATTTAAAAACATTACTTAATAATTTGTATAGTACATATGTACATTTTGAGTTTATGTATTTAAAATCAGTACAAAGTTAAGAAAAAATAATCCTTATATTGATAAGGATTATTTAGTTATATTGATAACTAAAGACTAATTGTTATATTTCTACTACACACAATTATAATTATATTTAGCAATTATAGTTAATTATTAGGTACTAGCTTTGTCTGCGGCTCCGCCTGCGTTCAGATGACCAAAAAGCAAATTCTTAGGTTTTACATATTAGTATACTCTTACAATTCAGTTTTTGTATTTTTCCTCAAAAACGAGATATTTTACCGAGGTAAAAAGTATCCTGTATGTTGACCCGGATAAC